TTTAGTTGAACGAAAGCTTTCCTAATCAGGCCAACACATCTGCTTTTTTAGATCATAACGTAAAAGCTTTTGATGTGTCCTGAATAACTTCTGCATTCTTGTTAAATTGAGAGTCACAAAATGGGTGTTTACCTTACCAATATGAAAAAGTGATTGATGTTTAACAGGGTATTTAACCCCCCACCCCTTTCTGCTCTGGCTGACTGGCTCTCAGGGAGACTGTTGCAGTGAGTGGTGATTCAGCTGAAGAGTTCTGCCAATGTGCTTTTGGCTGGGGGTGACACTCTATGCATGCATGAATATATTACTTCTGCTGCTGTTATTATCTCTGGCAAGGCTTCGCCATTTGGGACCTGCACCCTGTTGCCTTCCTGGCTTCTGTGCTCTTATTGTCATTACCAGACAATAAATTGGGTCTGAATGTGAGTTATAAGGGCTTCTACTCGGATAAGACGCTTCTTTATCTACAGAAATTCATAGATGTTTTTTAGTGGGGTTGGGTAAGGGAAGCTTATATGATGAAACATTTACAAAACTGAAACTCACTGGCTAAGGCTCTCTGCAACTCTAAAACTATCATTTTATAAATATAGCTCTGAAAGACAGACAGTATTAAAGACACACACAATGAGCACCGATTGGGTCTTCTACAGTGATGATGGATTTATTGTACTGTGAAACCACAGCTAAACAGACCTGTAGCCATTTATACATCCTTGTGATCATCAGCATTTGCCCCCCTGGATTTAGGACAGTGTTGAGGCAGGCTTTAAATACACCAAAACTGGAATGCACAAAGCCCTGCTCACAGATTCTCCTATCAAGCTTCTGAGGGTGTGACTGTCTAGGTGTCAGTCCTCTCTGTCATCATTACCCCTCACTTACAAAAACATGTATGTGTGTGTGTGTGTGTGTGTGTGTGTGTGTGTGTGTGTCTACTGCTTTCATGCACAAATAATGTTGTTTACGAGCACTCGTGTGCACACATCAGTCAGTGTTTTTTGTGTATGTTGCATCCCTCTTGCAGACAGATGGAAACCTTAGGCACAATGCCGGGGGTCTCTCTTTTGAAGCACCCTTACCTCCCGCCCATTTCCCCCCCTCTTGTCCTCTCCCTGCTACCCCCCACCCCCATCACTTTCCCCCCTCACATCTCTCTGCTCACCAAGCAGAAAAGAAAGCTTCAATCTTACACAGGCAGGCCCCAGAACCTGACTGCAGGCAGTGGAATCCTTTGCAGTTGCTATGAAGATACAAATCTAGCCCTGTATTTGACACAATAACACAAACTGAGAGGGAAAGGAAATGCAGATGTAATATTCATATAAGAATTACAAGGCTGGCAGCAATGTAACCTGGCACTGTGAGATTTAGGAATATATGAGCTGTGAGATATTTTGTCTTAGGCAATGTGTTGATTGCAAGTGCATTCCCACTATTAGAATATCATATTAATTGAGTCAATATGGGAACACTGTGGGATGTGGCAAAAAAACTGCTTTAAGCATAAAATTTTCAGGGGCAACGAGGGACCTTTTATTTAATCACATAACTAAAGTTCAGAGGTAAGAAACAAAGGTGGGAGGCTAAGCTGAGGAAAGGAACATTCTACATAGATGTTTGTTTCCACAAAATCTGATTCTGTCTCTTTGTGTAAATAGAAAAGGACTTAAATTATAAGAATCCTGCATTGCAAGAATGATGACTCTATATAACAGTTCAACAGATGATAATGCTAGGATTGGGCTAATAATCCGTTCAACAAAAAGAGGAACTAAGAGGAACCATTTGTTTATTTGTGATATTTGCTTAGATTTAGGGGCCAAAAATACCTAGTTAGAGTCAGAAAAACAAGTTCATATATTTGTTCAAAATAACTGCATAACAAGGCACAGTTCTCCCATAGGCCTTTTTTATATTCTTCCTCTGTAGCAACAGTCACAATAACAGCAGAACATATGGCTGTGGCTGAGAAATTTTACTGAACTCTATAGAACTACCTTGCATGTTGTGAAAAGGCACCTTGTCTGTTAGTATATGGTGCCTACAGAATATAGTAAAGCTTTTATTCAATTCAGTTCAATTCAATTTTATTACATAGTACCAAATCACAACAACATTCACCTCAAGGTGCTTTACACTGTGAGGTAAAGACTCAACAATCAGACGAATCCATATGAGGAAGCGATTGGCAACAGGGGCAAGGAAAAACTAATTTTTAATAGGCAGAAACTTCCAGCACAACCAGGGTGGGGCGGCCATCTGGCATGACCGTTGTTGTGCCAAAAAGTGCTTTCCGAAGTTTTTCTGTGTTTTTTACATCTAATATCTTTACTTATATTACTAAATAGACTGTAGTGAACAGGAATTAATGTAATATTTAGTATTTACTGTCATATTCCCATATATCATTGTGATGTTGTTTATTCTATTACTCTTGTTCTCTTCTGCTTGTTTTCTTTTTTCTTTCTCAGCAGGTGACCCAGGTGACTGATATATGCATTTTTTTTCTTTTCTTTTTCTGCTCACTCTGTTGGTTTTTGCCCTTCTCCCCCGTCCCTCTTCTCAGCTGTTTCTCTTTCCCTCTTTCTTTCTCCCCTTCTTTCCCCCAGTAAAGTCTGTCCCATATTCAGTAAGTGAAAATAAAATAAACAATAAAAGGTGAATCAAATGGACCATTATGGCAAGGCTGGGATGGTCAATTTGGTAAAGTAAATCCGTTGGGCATCTTTCTTTGCCTTTAGACAACAATTCTGGTGGTAAAAGAGCCAAACGGGACAGGCAAAAGAAAAAAAATAAATAAATTTCTGCTGCCTTCTGTGTTAGTTGTATCTTGAAAGATATATTTTTTAATGTCAGTGATACTTTTTAATGGATAGTTTTTAAGGATAAATAAAGGATATATAAAAGTTATTCTGCCCAAAACTGATTGCAGCAGCTACTTTGAGATAGGAATGGTCTTTCTCGCTCTAAATTGCTTGATATTCTTCATGGGAGATAAGAGTGACCTATTTTTGACAGATTTTAGGTCTACAAGTCATTTATAACAACTTAAATTCCCACAATAATTTTTTTGGCAAATATCAGAAATCACTTATTGGCAGGTGACCATTTCTTGGCCCAACACTGGTTAGGGGTGACCTAAACACCAAGCATGGAATACCCCATTCACCCGACTACACGTAACTGGAGAAGTAACACCAGTAACACTGAACCAGCAGCAAAATAAGACCTAAATTATGACTCACATTTGAAAAACAGATCCATGACTTATGTCTTACCTGCGCTGTCTTGCATCCAAAACAAATTTCCACTGCTACAATCTGGTTAAAAATAAATAAAGAAATCACAATTTTCTGCCCAGTTACAGAGATTTCTTTGGACAATGGCGAGTGTCATGCATCTGCCCCACGTATTCTTCACACTTTGCAATTTGTGAGTGGTGGGATTGGGTGTGAAAGTAGTGACTCTATTGACTTAAATGATTAAAAGGAAAGATTAGTCGTGCAAATCGGCCAATCTGGTTGATGACGTATGAACCCACCTTCCGGGTCCAAACTACTTATTACTTATTAAGGCTGTTGTGTTTTTAACATGTTTTAATGCTCTGTATCTTGTTCTATTTAATCTGAACAAGTTCCTAAAAAAAATCAGTAATTCGGCCTCTCCCAGTTTTTATCACTACTATTCATCGGTAGCATGTTTTAAAGCTCAGTTTTTAAAACCCTAGAGCAGCAGGATATTAATAACTAACCTACTATTGTGGATGGATTATCTCTAACTTTTTCTCCTGACTGAAGTTTGGTCCGTTTACAGCATCCTGCCATGGAACTGCATTTGTCCCTACCCATTGGGAACCCTCACGTTAACGTTTATCGAGTGGAAAAAAGCTAGTGCTCATCCTCCAGCTTCACTGTGCTAATGTATTAATATTATGCTAACCATAGCACCAGGTAGCCCAACTTCAGTAACCCAACAAACATCACTACTGTTTAGTTTTCTGTCTTCATTCATATCGGAAGCGATAGCAGAGATACAGTGATAGCTGTACGTTTAAAATTTTCAGAAATCCCTCAGTCAGAACATGGTATATACAGTATCATCTTTAGATGGAAACTAGCACGCTAACTCCTTGCTAACTAGAGTTGGATGTCTTGAGACCGGTCTTGGTCTCGAGACCACTTTTACGTGGTCTTGGTCTCGTCTTGGTCTCGACGGACTTTTGTCTTGGTCTTGTCTTGGTCTCGACGTACTTTGGTCTCAGTCTTGTCTTGGTCTCGCTGTCTCGGTCTTGCTGTCTCAGGTCAACATAGTGGTCGGGAGATTTGGAGTCAACAGTATCCATGACACACAGCGTAACGTTCGATAATGTATCATGCGCAAAAGCTTTAGCTCTGAGAGCTGTGCTTGGAGAGTGCTTTGTAGTGAATCAGAATAGTCGACTCCCATTGAGCGAGAGCCGGCTCCTCAATTAATTTCCTTTCGCTGCTCAGCTGTCACACAGCGACACACAGTGGCTCAGCCATGCTCAAATCCCTCCACATTGTGGCATTTTATTATTTCGCCTTTCGCGCCCTTCAAACACAACTAAATGGAACCCGTTAGATTGAGCAGTATGCCCGGTCAGTATTACAGAAATGTCAGCGACTTCGTCTGTCATAAACTTTGCGTTCATAGAACACAAAGAGTTTTTGGTAAATGCAAAAAAGAAGCATTCGGCAAAGTGCAGGTTTTGCAAAGTCTCCTTGACCGAGACAGCCGGGACTACCTCAACCTTCACCAGGCACCTGTGTCACGGTTCTGGGTCCGTTGGACCCAGTATTTTGAGTTCATTATGTTTTGGTACTTTTGCATCATGGATTTTCCTTTATGTTTCTCTGGTACTTGGTGTTTCAGTTATCTTGGTGTTTTTCTATATTATGATCTGATACTGTTGTGATTATGATTATCATTTAGTAACCTTTGGTCAGTGTC